AAAAAAAAAAAAAAACAGTAAGAAAAAAAATTACAAAATTACAATAGTAATAGTAAAAAAAAAAGAGATAAAACAAAATTGGAGAAACATAGATCGCTATTGTTCTTCTCATTCATGTATACAGACGTGAAAACGTTCGCGTCGCGAAAGAAACTGTTGCGACCCGTATCCGCGATTCGATTCTTCTTTCTCTCCATGTTTGTTCATCCTCGCTCTCTTTCCCATTCTTCGCGTCCGTATAAATTTACTCTCTCTCTCTCTCTCTCTCTCTCACTCACTCCCACTCATTCGATCTTTCTCTCTCTCTCTCTCTTCACGAAACGTGCAACAAGTGATAAATATAAAAGACAAAAAATAAAATGACAAATAATAAATGCATCGTAGCGGTAGGCAGCAGTAACAGTTATTTAACAAAATTGGTCGGTGTAAAAGAGCGGCCGGACGACGTCGGCTATCGCGAAATAGTTATTCGATCGACGTCGAGACGACGCGCGTCGTTTTCTTTCTCTTCCCTATCCGTTCCCTATCCGCGATAGAGTCGGGCAAGAACGGTTCACGAACGATCCTTCTCTGGTTCGATTCGATTCGATTCGATTCGATTCGATTCGACTCGGTTAAAAAGCTAGGGCCGATTGTCGGCCATTCTACGCGCGCGAGCGAAGACCAGATAATCCTCGAGCTTGATTACTCGCCGTACACACTGTACGCATTAGAATAGAAAAGTCGCTTATAAATAAACATTATCGTAACATCGTATACGTCGACGCTTATCGTGCACGACGATATCATCTCGTGGATCATTCGATCATGTGCATATACACGCTTTCGTGATTGTTCTCCGCGCTCCGTCTTTCCCTCTCCCATCTTTTTCTTTTTTTTTAATTTTGCTTTTTATCTTTACCTTTATCTCGCTATAGTGAATCGATATCACAGTACCTATCGCTCCCTGTCATTCACATTCTTTTTTTTGTTTTTTTTTTGTTTGTTTTTTTTTGCTTCTTCCATGTCTTCTTCTCTTTTTTCTCTCTTCCTCTATTTTTTTTTTGTTTCTTCGTCGTTTTCATCCGCGTTCTGACGACGCTCGTCGTCGGAGTATTTCGTCGATCGAAATGGCACCACACAAGGTTCTGACGTCGTCCAACCACCCGAACCAGTTTCGCAGCAGTTCGCAACAAGTTCTGCGACCGGCACGTATACACGGAACTTAAAAATAAAAAGATAATGCGTCCTTGTCGTCTCGGGCCAGATCAGCTGTCACGCTTCGTTTTCTTCTCTCTCTTTTTTTTTTTTTTTTTTTTTAGCAAAAAAACAAAAGTACCTTCGCGAAAAAAGTACAAAATATTTCACATATATTTATATAAAAAATTGAACAGAGTTTAAAAATCAATCAGATTTCTTTCGTCTCTGCGACACGCTATAAATATATATATGTATATCACACGGCCGATTTTGTGACTGCGAGATTAGAGTATAACAAGCATAAGCACTAATAGTCGAGATTACTTCGATAAGAAGTAATTCGTGTTAAAAGAAAAAAAAAAGAAGTATTACAAAAAGAAAACGTAAGGAAACGTTTCAGCAATGTCGGACATTGAGAATGAAAGAACGTTCCGTACAGTTGACGAGTGTCACGAAAAAAAAAAAAAAAAAAAAAAAAATACGGGGAAAAGTACGGTAGAAAAAAGATGTGAAAGGGTGACAGCAAAAGAGAAAAGAAAAATCTCTAGCTAGAAAAAGAAAGGAAAGAACAATATCAACCATTGCACCGTGTGCTAAAATCTCTCGCGATAGTAATAATTAATAATTAACAGCGATGATAATACGAAGATACAAGATGATATATCATTATATTAAATACGATGAGTTGGAACAAATAGTTAAGGGAAAAAGAAAAAAAATGAAGAAAATTTGTTTGTATCTGTACTTTCTTTTACGATAATTAGTCTTCTTTTTCTTCCCTTTTATAATTTCTATCCATTCTTTACCATTGATTCTGTTTCAAAGGAAATACTAAAATGAGTATTTTTTCTCCTTTTTTTTTTGATTCGAAGACAATCTTTTCTCGTCTGGCGATGTATTTTTTTATGCTACCGAAAATAAAAACAGAAAAAAAAAGAAAAAAATATACGATTCAGCCACGCTTGAAAGAATCTTTATTCCACTCGCACGAACAACTTTTTCATTATTTCACTTCTGGCGAAGTAGAGAGAAAAAAAAAAAAACACGCGAGAAACGTGTTGAAAACATGCACGTTGAAAAAAGACGCACGTTTGAAGAATTCGATCGAGTTTTTTTTATATGAAACTTAATAATCCAACGATGATCGAATCGCTTTGCGTGCAGTACCGTGATTCGTGTTTCGTGTAAGAAACAACGTAATCTGCAAGAAAAAAGAGAAACGGAGAAGAGAAAAATTCAAATTTCGGGGCTGTACGAAACGAAAGCCCGACGAGAAGTAGGGTCAATTAAGATGTCCGACATGATTGTTCAATGACCGTGTTCAATGAACGATTTTCTTTCGATAAAAAGGCCACATTTTATTCCATTCATCGACAAACATCTAATAAACCAATTATTATTTTTTTCACTGGCGAATAATATTTCGTGCGTCCGCGCGAAATCGCCCTGTCGTTCTGTCGCGAAACGGAAAGATTGAATTATTGTTTTCACGCGCAGCACGTATTTTTCGACAAGCGAAAATTTAACCGAAAAAAAAAAGAAAAATATGAACGACCAACGAATAAAAAAAAGGGGGGAGAGGGAGAGAAAAAAAAAGAAAAGAGAGAACAGAATCTGCAGTGTTAGCATTGTAAAAGTTTTCACGATTATTAGCTGTTTCCGTTTAAATAACGTCGATCAGTTGCGGTCGCAAGATCTTTCGAAACTTTGAAACTGATCTGTAGAAAGTTTAATAAGATTTTCGTGAAGGCATAAGGATGTCGGCGATTTTCTATCGAATTTAGCTACCCTGAAAGCTCAGCGATCGCGAGTCGCGTAACGTGTAACGAGGAGCGTCGCGAGATCAGCCTCGCTAAAATCGTACAAGGAGAGAGAGACGAGCGGATCTAAAAAAGATTCGGGATGTATCACGAACCATCGTTCCGCGAAATCCTATCGTCGTAACAATTATAATGCTCGTGAATCACGGAGAATTTCTCTTCTTTTTTTTGAAGAACCTGCTCCTTCATCTTGACCTTTCTTTTTCTTTCATTCTTTTTTTTGTTCTTTTTCTTCGACGTGCTCGCAACGAGTAAGGAAAAAAGATAAGATAGAACAAACGAGGATAATAATAATATTAATGAAAAGTGAAAAAGAAAGAGAAAACAGCGATTAAAAAACGGTCATCAACGAACGATTACATCGTCGTCGTTTTTGTCCCGCGGTTTCTCACCCTCCTGCACGTTCTTTTTCTTTTTGTTTTTTCCTTTTTTTTCTTTTTTTTTTTCGCTAACCTATTTTTGTAAACGTGATATAAGTAGATCTCTAATAATTTAATGAGTCGATTAACGTGACGCCTGACGACACGATCACTTCATTCATTCATTCGCCTCTTTCGTTTCTTTTCTTTTTCTTTGAACTCTCTCGTCTTCCACCCGTTTTCTTTCCCCTTTTTTCTTCTTTTCCCTTCTCCTTGCACTTCCTCCCCTTCGGTTTCATTCTCTCTTCCTTTCCACCTTTAGTACTGATATCAGAGTATCGATAATTGCAGATCTCAATATAATTATTAATATACCATCCTAAAATACGGTCAAATCACTGCCGCGAGCAGCAATTCCGAGGCACTACAAACAGGCCACAGAGAATATGGCCGCACAATTATTCATCTTCAGATCATCTCTGTGTCTAAATGATAAAAGACTAACTGTAGAACGCCTAATATACGTATAATCGTAATCATATACTTATGCATCTCGTCATCTATAGGTATAGATCATTATAATATATATATATAATATATATAATATATATATAATGTACAATAATTAGAGAGATCACACGTCTTAATATAGAAATTTAAAAGACTATTCTCTAGTACGTTGAAATTTCCTTAATATTTTGTGTGTGTTCTTTTTTTTTTTTTCTCGTGTTCGTGTATGTATCCCTTTCTTCGTTTCGTATCGTTTTCCTTTTGTATGTATTGCCACGAAACATTCTTCCTGTTCTACTTCAATTTTTTGTCATCTTTCGTTCGTTTTTACCTTCTGTTCACCGGCAGATGTGATGATAATTGCGTTATTATTATAATAATAATTATTATTATTACTAGTAATTATTATTAGTATTATTATTAATATTATTATTATTAAGTTCCGGATGAGCGGACTTCACGAGGGTCCTTCGAAAGTCTTTTCTTTTTCCTCTTCTTTTTCTTCCCCCCCACGGCTTTACTCCTCCTTTTCTTCTCTCGAGTTCTACTCTATCGACTACCCTACTTACGCTAGTCTACGGTGTCTCAGCCTTCTTCCACGTTCCCTCCTCTTTCGTGATTTTTTTTTTTTTCTTGTTTTGCTTTGTGTCGCTTACCTAGTGTTACGTTCAGCACCAATCTGATTTTAAAACCGATTCAAAATATCATCATTATAGTTAATAGAATAATATAACCTGTTGTATAAATATACATTCAAATATTACTATAGTATACAAGAATCGTACCCTCCCCTCGCGCAACTATCGTCATCGTCAACTTGTCGTACCCCGAAAAGCTATGGCTCAGCACTCTGGGAGGATACGCTGTCCTCGTAAATCCTACCTAATCTCTCTTCTTTCCTTTCCATCTTTCTCTCTCTCTCTCTCTTTCTCTCTCTCTCGCACACATTTTTCTTTTACCCTCCTTTCTCATCCATACTTCTTCCCCCTTTTATCCCCTCATATTCGTTCTCCCCACCCCCCCCCCCCCCCCCCCCCCCCATCTCCGCATCTTCTTCCTCCTCCGTTTCGCCTTCTTTTTTTTTTTCATCCTTCTCCTATCCCTCAGCGATTCTACCCACTCGTTCCACCCTCGATTTTGCTCGTGCATTCGCGACTCTCTCTCTCTTTCTCTCTCATTTCTGCTCATTCGCACACGGATCCACGCAGCATCCACGCAGCCAAACACGCACTCTCTTGCTCGCTCTTTTTCGCGCCATTTCAACATTTTTTTCCCTCTCTTTCTCTCTCTCTCTCTCTCTCTCTCTCTCTCTCTCTCTCTCTCATCTACCACTCGGTTTTGTTTGTTCGTCGAAGTGAACGGCTTTACATATTTACAGGCATTCTTCTCGTGGTCGTGTATTCACCTCCCTCTCGAGGCAACGTATCTTCCTCCCATCACACGTACATCTCTTTCTTTTCCTTCTTTCTTTTCCTTTCCTTTTTCTTTTTATTCATTTTTTTTTCTTTTTTTTTTCTTGTTTCATTTAAACATAGGCAAGTTAGATATCGTATCACAATTGTTATCAATTTTTTTTCTGTTTTGTTTTGTTTTGTTTGCTTCTCATCTGATCGTCGAACCGAACATCTTCAAACCCACGTATATGTGTATGTGTTTGTCGAAACGTACCTCGAATATATACGAGTGTGTCTCTACGTCTGTCTCTGTCTGTTTCTGTCATGCGTATGCATCGTGTGTGTGAACGGTGTAACGAACGACACCTCGGACGGCCTGCCTGCCTGCGCGCGCGAAAAACCACCGAACACTCTCGAGCTATTCGCTTATCCACGAAAAAAACGCGAGAAGGTACGTTGTTAATTCATTAATATATAAAAAATACGTATGGGGAGAATAGACGAGATTCTTCGTTGGTTGAGTCACCACCAGTTTTCTGGCGCCAGCGATCAGCTCGACGACGAACGACACAACGACTCTGCGTGTCTTCCTGCGCGATCTGACTGCCATCCGTTCACAAGCTCTCTCCCCCTCCCCGTTTCTGTAACCGCGTAGCCCGTTCTCGCTCGTTCGTTCGTTCGTGACTTGGCTTGTGTCAGCCGACACGAGCAGCGTTGTGTGTTGCTCGTACCACTTTGCCATCTTGCTTCTAGAACGCAATCGCGTAGAACCATCAACCACAGCGGAGAGAAGATGCGCGGTTTCGGTCGGCTGCTTTCGCTGAATCGCAGGTATATATTCGTAACGCGGGTAACGACGATGATCGGTGATCGAAAAGAAGAACAAGTTGCTATTGTGAGGTGTAGTTGATGGCGAGCTTCGCGATTACTTACGGGCTGGTCCGCGTAACGAAGGATAGCAGGCTAGGACCGCACAAGTAGAAACGGACCACACTGGTCGGACGAGGGCACCGGTCTCTCTATCGGAGTAATAAGAGTAAACGTGTACGGTGAACGTGTCATAGACCCGGGACGCACGCGCGCGGTTTCTCGAACTGCAGAAACAGAAAGAGAGAGAGAGAGAGAGAGAGAGAGAGAGAGAGAGAGAGAGAGAGAGAGAGAGAGAAAGAGAGTGAGAGAAAGAGAGAGAGAAAAAGAAAGAAAGAGAGAGAGAGAGAGAGAGAGGCGAGTCGCGGTGTCGATTATCGTCGAGCTGATGACTAGCTGGCGACGCGTTCCGAGGCTGTGCGAAGCAATGGAACGAGGAAAGTAAGCGAACCGCGAAACGAAAAGAAAGAGTCTAGTAAATGCACGATAAATGTCACGGGTAGTGTTGCTGGATGGGCTGGCTGCATCGGTGCGACGCGAGACTCGACGTCGTCGAGGCGGCGGCGGCGGCGGCAGCGGCAGCGGTGGCGGCGTCGGTCTGTAACGCGTGACCGAAGCATCGCTGAAATCTCAGCGGTATTCCTGCTTGCTAGTAGGCGGCAGGATGGACGGTTAGTCACTGCGGCGGCAGACCGGTCGGTGGTTTGAACTCGCCGCTAACGGAAACCCCGTTCGCCTGGGCCGGGAACTGCGCCGTCGACACTGGCGGTTGATGATTGAACGCGGGCGCGTAACACTGCGGGAAGTAGAGCTCTGGCTTCACCACGGTCGGTGTGAGTCCCCTCGGCACGGGGACTGGGCCTAAACCAGCCGGTGTGCCCGGTGGTTTCGAGTCGCTGCTCGAGTTCCTACGCACCTTGGCCGCGTGTGGGTTCATGTGGTTGTCGATGTGTTTCTTCACCTCGGGCTCGGTGGCGAAACGCCGCCTGCAGTTCGGCATCGGGCAACAAAAGGGCCGGTCGCCCTGATGGGTGCGCGTGTGCTGGTCCAGTATCGCTTTCTGACGGAAATCTTTGCCACACTGTTGACACTTGTACGGCTTCTCGCCGGTATGAATGCGCAAATGTTGATTCAAGATGGTACGCTGACGAAAATTACGGCCGCAGTAGACGCAGCCGTACGGTTTCTCGTTCGTGTGGATGCGAAGGTGTTGGGTCAAGTGCGATTGTTGCCTGAACCTCTTGCCGCACTCCGGGCAAGGATACGGTCTCGACTCGATGTGTATGCAGCCGTGCTGCAGCAGCGTCGATTTTTGCTTGAACTCCTTCTGACAGATCGGGCATCGCACGTACAGCGGCATGCCCGCGGAGC